TTTCTGTATGCCAAATCTATTAATATCAGAAACATATATGCCCTAAACATCTTTTTTCACTTATGATTAAGCTTTCCTTATGACAGGTCATTAAATAAAAATCAACTCAATCATAATTAAATAATTAAGGACTTCAGAGTCTGATGCAAGACATTTAGCATTGTGAATGCACAGTCCTCCCAAACAAAATGTATTCCACCTCCCATTACAATAATAGCACACACAAGCCAAAATAACAACCAGCCTCACAACCTGTACTGAATTACAGTGAACGTTTTCACTCTAAACATGCTACTCTCACCATCACATTGCTGTTCTTAACTAAACTAAAGCATTTACCACAAGAAGGAAGAAGAAAACAACAAAACAGGATATGAATAATGTTTCTACTCTTTTTTTTATTTTATGTAATATTGTCAGTGGATATTCAAATGTTTTTGCTTTTTTGTTCTAGAAAACTTTTATTTGCTGAATGTTTTCTAAAAAGTATAAAGATGCCATTCACACAAAAAAACAAAATAAGTGTGACAGAAATATTAAAATCAACATATTAACTTGTCTCATTAACATATTAAAGGTCAATGTTGGATTTTAAAACATGCTCTATTTGAAAAATGAAATAAAAATTGCAGTGGAGCCAAGTTTTTTACAAGCGGTCTTCTAGATAGGGAAAAGCAATGAATTTTTATTTAGGTTTATTGATGTTTATACATTACATATCTGTATATGCAGATAATATTAGTTTGGACATGGTTGAAAACTGACTAATAATATTTGATATGAAAAATTCTTCAACAGGAAGCATAAGTTACATAGAACTAGGGGCATGTTATATTAGATATTTGAATCCATGCTGAATCTAAAATGTCTTTTCTATACACATGTTTGAACTACTATTATCCAAGTATAAAATCTTGTGGGAAATAAATCAATGCTTTTTTAAATCAATTGTTGAAAAACTATGTATAACATTTATTCTCACTTTTGATTCCTTTATTAAGTACTCTTATGTCACATTTATTACAGATTATACAAATAACAGCATGTTTTTTCAAGCAAAAGAAGTAATCAGATTCATTATGTCTTATTTCAAAAAAGCAAGTCTCTAATGCACTAATGGAATGAAAAAGTTTAAATCACCCTTTTGAATTCCAAAAAGGACATGAGGGCTAAATAGAAGCTCTACTGAAGCTTTTAAGTGCACCCTTGTGAAAAAGGCAAACCGTCAGAAAAGATTTTGCAGACTAATTTGCTTCTAAACCCCAAATGGATGCTTCCATCACACTAAGAGCTTGTGGTTGAAAATGCTGGAGGAGCCTGCCATCAAGTGGAATGATGTGAAAACTTTTTCTACAAAAAAACATTGAGGTTTGTTTCAGCAAATACAAAGTAATTATTTCTAAATTTAACATATACTTCTTGATTTTAATATAAAAAACACTACGATTGACATAGTAACTGCATGTATAACAGTAGTTACGTCTTTTTGTGATTTATTATCTGACTATTTTTTGGAGAGCTTGGGATTGCACAGGATGTAATTTGCCTCAGCAATTTCACTACGTGTAGTAAGGTTTCACTAAACTGTTTTTTTTATTTTCTCTATATATTTTATGAAATTCAAATATCAAATGTATTAAAATACATATATTTTTAGAAAATTCAAACTGCTTATAATAATGAGCATTGTTGGATGCATTCAAGATGTTTTCATTTCGGTATAATCAGTTTATGTTTTCCCCATAGGTACTGTTGATTCCAATACATTACCACAACATAACACAGCTTGTGAATATTCAATGCTGTTTCTTGAATAATACGGGTTATTGTGGATACTAACTTAATTTGTGCTCAAAAACCTTAGGTAACTCTCATGACATCTACAGGCAGATTGTTGAACTGCAACCTTTTCAAATCTGAAAAATCTTTGTCAAGTTTAAGCAATCTGTATTGGCTTCAGAAATCTGTAAAAATACATAAAGCAATCACAATCAACTGTTTTATGCTTAATTAGGGCACTGGTAGCAAGGTTGGTTTGCTACAAGGTACTGAAGAAAGGGCTTAAAGTCTAAATCATTGACCACTATATTTGTTCTGCATCCATACACAAAACAGATATTCATACAGTATAATAAATACAACAAATACTGAGGAAATGTATGCATAAACTAAGAATTGATTACATGTATTTATATGTCCCTGTTGTGTTTGTCATATTGCTTTTATGGGTGTCATGTTGGTGTCATGGTGCTCACAGCACTGAACCACTGGGTATCTAAACCTGGTATAATATCTGCGTGGGGTTTGTATGTTCTATGCGTGTTCACATGAGTTTCCTTTGGTTTCCTCCCACAGTCAATAAACATACTGCTAGGTTAACTGGCTTCTGATAAAAGCTGGCCCTATTGCGAGTATGTGAGTGTTTATGTCTCTGCATGCCTCAGTAAACTAGTTTCAGATATGAAATCCACCACTTGCCTTTTAGATCCCATTCCCACTGCTTTATTTCAATCCTGTTTCACTACTCAGTCCCTGAGCACTGGTCTGGTACGAACAGACTTTATAACTGCTGCCATTACCCCATACAGTACCAAAAATAACCTAAACAATTTTCACCCTATATCTAATTTACCCTTTCTTGCAAAAATTTTACAACCTTTTGTTACAATTCAGTTAATAACCAAATAACCTTTTCAAACCACTTAAGTGTGGTTTCCAACAACTTCACAGCACAGAAACTGCCCTGGTTAAAGTCACTAATGATATTTTTGTTGCTTCCGATTCCTGTTCTCTCAATATACATCCATACCAAACCTCACACTGATGTGGCTTTCTCTGCTCTCTCTAATCACATTTTTGACATACTGTAAAAACATGGATCCCTCACTTTCCTTGAACCAATGCAGTAGCCCTATCTGTGGATGGTACTTGATTTGAGTTTCAATCAAAACTGAACAACTTGGGAATGATATTTGATCCTGGCTTGATGTTTGACCCACATGTGCACAACTTGTCAAAACATCATTCTTCCACCTCAGAAATATCACCGGACTGCGTCCTTTGTTATTGCTCGCTGCCGCTGAAAAGCTGGTCAACACTTGTTTTTTCTCAAATTGACTACTGTAACGCTCTACTCAATGGGGTATCTAAATCCACAATGAACAAACTACAGTATGTCCAGAATTTGGCAGCCAGAATCCTGACCAGGTCCTTGCAATGGCTTCCTCTCAGGTTCTGTCAAGATCCTGATGCTCACCTACAAAACTCTGCATGGCTTGGCACTTCAGTACCCATCTGTTACTATCGTCCTGCTCCCCACCTTGCAACCTTCACTAGTCTAATTCTGGTCTCCTGTCTTTCCCCTATGGATAACAGGGCCTTCTCCTGCTACAATCCAAAGCTCTGCAACTCAAGATACAGTATGTAAAGATATCAAGAGTCACATTCCTTGAACCGTTTCCAATCTTGGCTCAAAACCTTCTTATATCAAAGGGCTTTTATTTAACTGGTTCTGCCTGCCTCTTGACTTTCCTACTGTATTCCTACTATTTTACTGTATTTTTTTTTTGTTTGTTATTCCTCTGTAAAGGGCTTTGAGAAACCACAAGGTGCAATATAAAATTATTATTATTTCCTTGATATCATTGTCCTTGCTTTGCGCCCATTGCTATCCAGGATAAGCTCCTTCTCTCCTGTGAACCTGACACAGAAGACTGGTTAGAAAATGAGTGCATGGGTGTTATGCTTGTCGGTATGTTTGTTATTGCAGAATACTGACTGTCCATGTCAGCAGGGAAAATTAAAGCTCAATCTAAAATGATAGTTCCCTGTTTCACTTCTCCTGGCCAAAAAAGCACTAATCTTTCTGTCTGCATCCTTTTACAGAGATTTCATTACATTTAGTCCAGAAACAAACATCACAATCTCCTTCTTCTCTCAATGACAGACCAATTTCTTTCAAAATTTTCTCCATTTCTTTTACAGATTTCAGCTTTTTATACCTCTCTGATAAAGCCCCCTTCATGTGGACACTTTATCACCTGTGTGTCCCTTCACACCTTCTGTCCTTTGTCCTCCTGTGCTTTACATTCCTGCCACATTACCGTCTCCCAAAACACCAGAAGAAGGCTCAACAGCTGAAACGTTGTTTCTTCATACTACTCTTTAGAGTGGAATTATCCTTTACATGTGCCTTTGCAGACAATGCATACTGAAACAGGTCCCCACTCAGGACTAAGAGTATATTCATACTCTAATGATAAGAATAGAAGTGATCATTCAATTTATCTCACTTGCTTGGCTGCAAGCAGCTTATTATTCCAAGGGTCTCATCAACCTCTTTCTCTAAAGAGCCTAGGCGATCAGTCTCATATATAATAGGATGCAACATTCCACGCTTGTTACACATTTTGTGTTGAAATTAGCATCAGACCACATTCACACACATCCCATCCCATGACACTTAAATTAATCACACAAGATTTCTAGCAAGCTGAAGTCCCCATATCTCTATACACATTGCAGGAAAACTGGACTTTGCATAGTCCAAAGCCCATAGTTTCAAGCCCACTTGAAACTAGCAGTAGAACTGTACACCTCTTGTGCTAACACACTTCTAATAACATCACTTTATTAACCCTTTACAATTTCTTGCTTTAGGAATTGTCTTTTC